GGTGCTTAAAAAGATTGTGCTTTTTCCTTCGGTATCACACCTGCATGAGATAGAGAAGAAAATGAAGAGTGCAAAAATAATAATGGGCAGTAAACAAGCTGGGTGTCAGCTTTGGAAGCCATATTGAGATTTGATGCTCCCATGCTGCCACAGGCCTGAGAAAGTGGGAGGTGGGAGATTCAACTGATTGTCTCTAAATAGCCCAAATAAAATTCTTTTGTTAGTTCAAGGTCATTGAGTATGGTGCAGAATGAAATAAGAATCTTACTTTAGGACAGATCGTGATTGGGCCGTGTGACAGCTGAAGGGGGATGGATGTGTAGTTTTGAAAATTGCAAGGAGGCCCGAAAACTTTCTGATTCAGGATTCCACAGATGTGCCAGTCACTATCTAAATAAAGCAATCTTTCAGAGATGTCTGTCTCGGAGTTATCGGTTGGAAAGGAGGATTGCGTTGACACTGGCACGTTCATTGGACATGGAGACCAACTGGAGGCATCCTTAATCTGAGTGTTAGCAGAAAGGTTTGGAAGGGTAAACTCAGGGAGATAAATTAGGAAGGATTTCTTCTCTCTGGCATCTTTTTTTGCTCCAAGTTGATATGGTAGTTTATTTCCTTTTATACCTCAGGAATGTAGGCTGGTCTCCAGGGGTGTGGGGAGCACCCTGGAGCAGAGTGGAGAAACTATTCAGTTCTCCTCCACTTTGTTTAGTCATTGCTTCCTTCTAAATCTCTCTGCTCTGAATTTGGTTTTGACGGCAGTTCCGAGACTCTTGAGTCAGGTGTTCTTTTAAGACAGAAAAAGCTTAAACCCAACGTGCAATACAATTAAAAATGGCCTCCCTGTTGGGTGATTGAGTCTTCCTTGTGTTTCAGGCTAAGTCACAAAGTGTCCTATAATAGACTCTGGTGTGGGGGAGGAAGTGGGATGAAATTGGACCATTTTAAGAGCAGAGCCTACTGTTTACTTTGAATGTTTACTTTGGCAAAGTGTTCTTTTGTAATATTGCTTTCTTACAGTCAGCTAGACTCCTAATGATTCTATAGAGATAACTGTATGGTCATCTCTGTAGTGTCTTTTTAGCCAACCCAACAGTCATACCACCTCTCAAGTGGGATCTCCACTCAGATGCCCCTCCATTCATGTCTCAATCCCGTCATTAGAAATCAGAAGCAACGTTGCTATCCTATTTTCTGTCTGATGGCTGAATTTGATGTATGGGTAGATAATCGGTCCCTTTATTTCATTTTAGCCCTTCTGTAGGAAAGTAAGGGATTAATAAATGTTAAGAGTCCAAATTCTTGGAAGTTGGAGTCAGTCTAGGCTAAACATTCTCATATGGTCTAAAGGCCTGAACTGGACTGTTATCCTTGGCTTCTACTACTGGTTTTCAAACCAAGAAGTAGCCTTAAAGCTCAGCTGTTGTTTGTTGGACCCGGCAACTTTTAGGTTTTGATATATAGCAATAGCACTTAGACTTATATACCGCTTCACAGTGCTTTACGACCCTCTCTAAGTGGTTTACAGAGTCAGCATATTGCCCCCAACAATCCGTGTCCTCATTTTACCAAGCTCAGAAGGATAGAAGGCTAGGTCAATCTTGAGCCGGTGAGAATGGAACTGCTGACAGTCTGCAGAATTAGCCTGCAATGCTGCATTCTAACCACTGCAACACCACAGCTCTTTAGAGCTATTGAGATGCTGTTTTAGGTAACAGAGTAGAATAACAGAGTTGGAAGGGACCTTGGAGGTCTTCTAGTCCAACTCCCTGATCAGTTAGGAAACTGTATTCCATTCCAGCCAAACTGTTGTCCAATTTCTTCTTAAAAACTTCCAGTGATGGAGCCTCCACAACTTCTGGAGGCAAGTTGTTTCACTGATAAATTGTCAGGAAATTTCTACGTAGTTCTAGGTTGCTTCTCTCCTTCATTAGTTTCCACTTATTGCTTCTTGTCCTGCCCTCAAGTGCTTTGGAGAATAGCTTGACTCCCTCTTCTTTGTGGCAGCTCCTGAGATATTGGAACCCTGCTATCATGTCACCCCTAGTCCTTCTTTTCATCAAACTAGACATACCCAGTTCCAGCAACCGTTCTTTATTATGTTTTAACCTCCAGTCCCCTAATCATCTTTGTTGTTCTTCTCTGCACTCTTTCTAGAGTCTCAACATCTTTTTTTTTTTACATCGTGGCGGCCCAAATTGGATGCAGTGTGACTTGTGTGAATCCATTATGTCCATTATATTATGGAATCCATTATGTTACAAAACACACGAATCCTTTATGTCTTTCCGTGTGTGAGAGATCCTGGCTCCTTTGGATTTGATCTATCTTATTGAGAATCAGATAGGAAGGAATCGAATCATCTTGTCGGGGCTGAAGGTTTTACGTGGCATTCATCGTAACGTGGCTGTGAGGTTGTCAGGGAGAGTAGACCTAGGCATTCAAGAGACAGAAGGTGAGTCAATTGGCAGCTTATTTTACAACTCAGAGAGAAATCTGCAGAGTCTCGAGATAGTTCAAAGACCTCCCTGCCTTAATTAACCCACATAAAGGGAAAGGCGGTTTTTCTCTGACAGCTTCCAAGATTTTGCATTTTTATCCCAGACCAGCATGAAAGAGACGTCACTTGAGGCCATAATACTTTCTTCCTTCTTCTAGCTGGGATGGAGGGCTTAAGCTCTTCCGTTGTCCCTGGATTCCTTTCTTGCGGTGGGGAGAGAGCGAGGCAGGGATGGGGGTTGGGGATTTGGAAGGAATGCAGCTTTTTTCCCCGTCAGTCTCCCCCACCTAGCTGACCTTATGTCCTAGCTCTGCTCCAGAGCTGTGTCCGGAAACTGTAGATGAGTAGGATTAGCAGTGGTGTTTCCTCATGTCAGAAAATAGCTTTTGTGGTGGATGTGACATTTGCATCCAGGAGCTTCTGTTGGCTCCTATCTGGGGGCAGGGACAGGTTAACTCATGGCTTCTTTGCTCTTGTTTCTAAATGGGATGTTGCAAGATGGGAGGACTACTGAAAATTGCCCGGAACACTTGCCTTTTAAAAGTTTTAAAATAGAAAAGAATTCTCTATTGGCCAAGTGTGGTTGGACACCCAAGGAATTGGTCTCTGGTGCGGAAGCTCTCAGTGTTCCTACAAGCAACAAAGGGATAAGTCATAGAATCATAGATCATAACATACAATCATAAATCATAAGATACAACAATTGATCTATCATATCCATAGAGGAGAAGGTAGTCGGAATGATGAGAGTTGAGAAAGATGAGAAGGATAAGAAGAATATAAGAAGAATAGCCAAAAAAATGGCTTTAGAAATATCTGAATATAGGCCGATGGGTAATTTTAAAAATCTGTCAAACAAAGAAGTATCATTACACCTTTCTTTTTTTTTAAAAAAGAAACTAATTCAGCTGCCTGGTTGTTAATTAAAAGTTATTGATGAGAGATTGGGGGGGGAGGGGAGTAAGTGCCACCTCCTTTTTTAATTTACCAAAGTTTCTTTGCCTGAGGCAGTTCCTGACTGCAAAATTTGGGAGGCAAAAGGGACCATGATTGTAGTTGTTTTTTAAAATATGTTTATCTGTATCTCAGCAGCAGAAGGTCACAGTTCAGTCTCTGGCCAGGCTTGGGGAAAAAAAAAAGAACACGAAGGAAGGAGAAACTGCAGAGCTGATGAAGTCCTGTCTGTCCTCCTTCCCTTCGCCAAACAGAGAGCCTACAAAAGGGACTCACCCTATCCTAGCCTTGGGGTGCAAAATGTCTCTTCCAGAGATGGTATTCAGCAGGTTCTGACCACTTCTGGAGAACCAGTAGCAAAAATTTTTGAGTAGTTCAGAGAACCGTCAAATGCCACCACGGACTGGTCCTGCCCCATCTATTCTCTGCCTCCCAAATCCCAGCTGATCAGCTCGGTCTTCTTTTGTTGCCATGCACAGGAGAACGGAGCTGGAAAGCAGGTTAGTGGGGTGGGGAGGGAATGGAGATTTGCAGTATCCTTCTCCTGCCACGCCCACCAAGCCACACACACCATGCCACACCATGCCCATCAAACGCCCACCAAACCAACATTTTGAATCCCATCACTGGTCCCTTCTATGAACAATGCGATCCCCAAATAGGTTGCTTTCAATGTTCATCAGACAACTTCTGAGGTCTTCTTTGCTCATTGCAAAATGCACTGTCATTTGGACTTGCATAGGACACATCTTCTGCTAAAATATCCTCGTAGGTATTTTCTACCAGGGTCCCTTTTCACCCTCTTGACCAGGTACATTTTTGGAGGAGTGGGGTGGGTGGGGTGGCCTTATCTGACAAGGTCTGTGAGAGGAGATCACCCCAAACATCTGGCAAGCTAGCTTGATTCTTCTAGGCAACCGTGGTTGAAGTGATCCTATGGGGGGTGCTCAACAATCAGCGTTAGATCATTTTCTCTTGTCAGATAGCCATCTAATTCTTCCATCTTTGGAGTCAAAATGTGTCTGCATCTGTGCCAGCTCTAAGAAGGTGACCCCAATCACCCTGTGTTTAATCACTTACATCAGGGGTGTCAAACTCAAGTCCTATGGTCCAGATTTGGCCCATGGGACACTTAGATGTGGCTCCTGGGCTCACCCTGGAAACAGTGAAGGACTGGCCTGGGATGCTTCTTCCAGTGAAAATGGAGCTCAGAAAGGGCCTCATGAGGTCTCCCCGAGCTCCGTTTTTGGCTATGACTGCCTCTTGCAGTCCTCTGCCAGCAAAAACCAGGTGGAGGGTGTGTGTGTGCAGTCCCCAAGCTTTATTTTCATAGCCGAAAATGGACATCAAGCTGGCCCCCCAAGTTCAAACACAACCCTGATGTGGCCCTCAAAGAAATCGAGTTTGACACCCCTGACTTACACGATTAAGACTTTTTGCAAGCTTGTCTTTGTGTTTCTCTCAACTTGGAGTTAGGTACCTTTTCCGAATGACCAACCTTCTTGTTTCTCTTGCACCTTCCTAGGTTCCCTTCCAGGATGTGCATGAAGCATGATATGAGTCATCCACTCACCAACGGGGGCCTGTCCAACTGGAGTGCATCTGCCCCGTCTGGGTTAGTTTCCTGATTGGGAGAGAAGTCAGAATGGGAAAAGATGCTCAAGAGAGAGTCAGTGGGAAATGGATTTGTGAGTGACTTGGGCCTTGCGTAATCATCCCCAAAGAGGTTGTGGATGAAGGTTCCCAACTTGTTCCAGGGCACAGAAAACCACACTGGCAGTTTGAATTTGGAGACAGGTGGTTTCCTGTACCCAAGACCTCAAAAAACCTCTAACAGGAACACAGCTGTAGGCTAGGGGTACAGGTCACACTCTGTCTGTGATGGGGAAATTGCTGCCTAGATCAGTTTGTTGGATTCACCGGTGCCTTTCGTTGCCAATTTACTTCTCTCAAAATCATAATAAATGATTGTAGCAAAAGAAAGCAAAGGTAGTACCCATAGTAATAGATCTTTTGTGTGCAACCCCAAAACAACTGGAGCACCACTTGAATGCTACCAGCATTGACATCATCAGTCAATTGCAAAAGGCAGCTTTTAAGAAGCAATTGGGCAGCCATTTGCCTGCAATGGTGTAGGAGTTTTTGCTTGAGCAGGGGGGTTGGACTGGAAGACCTCTAAGATCCTTTCTAACTCTCTTATTCTGATAAATTAGTAGTAAAAGTTCTCATTTGATGGCACTTTGGAAAGGATACACTTGACTCAAGAATATATGAAAAATGGTGTGTGTCTTTGTGCTTGTCCCAAAAGTGCTTTTTCAGGAGGCAATTGGACTTTCTTGGTTTTTTTGAAGATTTTGAATTTTTTGAATTTTGTCTTTCATCCAATAAGCTTCTTCAGCTTTGATAGGATAGTGGGGAATGGAAGGATTTATATTCCTTGCAGACAGCTGGTCATTTACATGTTTTTAGAGCAGGGGTCTTCAAACTTGACAGCTTTAAGACTTGTGGACTTCAACTCCCAGAATTCCTCCTTCAATCATGTCCACTCAGGAATTCTGGGAGTTGAAGTCCACAAGTCTTAAACTTGCCAAGTTTGAGGACCCTTGTTTTATTAGTTTACTTTATTGTCATTGCACCTTGTACAACAAAATCAAACACCATCTTCAGTGCACATCATGACCATGAAAATAAACACAAACATACACCATTCACCCTTCACACATTGAACCAGAAAGCCCCCAACACCACACCAACACTGCACTATACAGCAGAATTCAAAAGAGCTATTGCCCTGGGATAGAAGCTGTTTTTCAGCCTATTTGTCCTTGTTTTTATTATTCTGTACTGTCTGCCAGTTGGTAATAGTTCAAAAAAAGGGTTCTCAGGATGAGATGGATCTTTGAGAATGTTTTGAACTTTCTTAAGGCAGCGGGAGCTATAAAGCTCTTCCAAAGAGGGGAGAGGGCGACCCATGATCTTCTGGGCAATGACATTAACCCTCTGGAGTGCTGTCCTATCTGCCACTGTGCAATTGGCAAACCATACAGAGGTGCAGTAAATTAAGATACTCTCTATGGTGCAGCAGTAGAAGGTCAACAGCAGTTTCTCATTCAGGTGTTGTTTTCTGAGAAGTCTCAGGTAGTATAATCTCTGCTGGGCCCTTTTGATCAGGGCCACAATGTAGGCACCCCAGATCAGGTCCTCTTTTAGGGTAACACCCAGAAACTTAACAATGGCCACTTGCTCCACTCGGTCTCCATTGATAAGCAAGAGCTGGATGTCCGATCTGTTCCTTCTATAGTCCACTATAAGCTCCTTGGTCTTACTGGTGTTGAGGACCAAGTTGTTGTCTCCACACCAGGAAAGCAACTGGTCCACCACATCTCGGTAGGCAGACTCATCCCCCTTGGAGATAAGTCCCACCACTTGTTTTATATCTGCAAAGTTAGCAATAGTATTACTAACGTGAGTGAGAATGCAGTCATGCACATAAAGAGTATAGAATTAGGGACTCAACACACGACCCTGTGGTGTACCAATGTTAGGAATAATCTGACCCTCTGTGAGAGGCCAGACAGGAAATCCATAATCCAAAGGCAGATTGAATTAGAAAGCCCAAGGTCCAGAAGTTTAGACGCTAGTCTATGTGGAAGAATTGTGTTAAATGCAGAACTAAAATCCACAAAAAGCAACCTCACGTAGCCCTCCTGCTGTTCTAGATGAGTCAGAGCAGTGTGAAGAGTGATGGCTATAGATCTATAGCTTCTGTAGATCTATTTTTTTTCTGTATGCAAACTGGTGTTTAGCAAATGTATGCAGAAAACCAGAAATGGTGTGCCGGCAGACCAATTTCTCAAAGCACTTCATGATGATAGGAGTGAGTGCCACTGGTCTGTAATCATTGAGGTTATTGATAGGGAACTTCTTTGGCGGCGGAACAATGGTGGAAGCCATCAAACAAGATGGAATAGTGGACTGGGATAAAGGCCGATTGAAGATCTTGGTAAAGACTCCAGCCAACTGATCAGCACAGTCTTTAAGCACTCGGCCAGAGATACCGTCAGGACTGGCAGCCTTTCTAGGGTCCACAGCCTTCAGAATGCTCTTCACCTCCTATTCCTCCACAGTGAGGTGGGGGCTACAATTGGCTGGTAGTTGTGTTTTATCTGTCTCTGATGTCTCCACTTCAAAGCAAGCAAAGAAATGACACAGTTCCTCTGCCAATGAAGCATCCCCCTCGGCAGGGATGACATTGGTCGGTTGATGGTTTCTAATTTGTTGAATCTCTCGCCACACCTGCCTCATGTTATTGCTATAAAAATTATCCTCAATCTTCCTCTTATAATCAGTCTTGGCCTTCCAAATACCTTTCTTCAGATTTTAGAGGGTGGTTGAAGCACTTGGAGGTTTGTCTGTGTCCTCAGGGTCACCTGAGTAGTGTCCCTGGTTCCTGTAGTCTGCAATTTTTCCTCTGGAAATCCATTCCTACTCCCACCTCATTCAAAAGTTGTTCATCCCAAATTGCACAGCTAAAAGTCGGTAGAGATTCTCAGTCATCCAGGTCCTTGATTAGTTTCCACCCACTGTTTCTTATCTTGTCTTTTGGGTGCTTTGGAAAATAGTTTGACCCCCTTGTCTTTGTAGGAGCCCCTCAAATATTGGAACACTGCTATCATGTCACCCCTAGTCCTTCTTTTCATTAGACTAGACATACCTAATTCTTGTAACCATTCCTTGTATGCCTCCAGACTTCTAATCATCCTTGATGCTCTTCTCTGCACTCCTTTCAAAGTCAGTCTCTCTCTATACGTATGTACGTATGTAAGTATGTACTTATGTACTTATTTACTTAGTTAGTTAGTTAGTTAGTGGTGACCAGAACTGGATGCAGTATTCCAAGTGTGGCTTACTAAAGCTTTTCAAAATGGTATTAGAACTTCACTTGTTCTCGATTATGTTCCTCTATTAGTGCAGCCTAGGATTGCACTTGCTTTTTTGGCTGCTACCGATATTGTTAGCATCTGGGATAGGAGATTAAAAACCTGGTTTAAGATAGGACTGTGCAAGAGCTGAGAAGGGTAGTATCTTCTCATCTCAGTTTTGTCTTCCTGAAGTAGAGACTTCCATGGAAAGCTGCTGGCCTATTCTGGAATCATTCTAGAACTATTTATGGTTTAGACTTATGTTCTTCTCCTATGGACAACGCAGTTGAGATGGTTGTTTAGGGTATTCTAGATCCACAGCTTTTTCAATAAGGCTCCCTGGAGACAGTAAACAATGAATGCCTAAATTGTTCTGCTTTTCCCCCCTACCCTTAATTCAAGTTTATGAAACAAAACGTCCTTTAGGGAATGTCTTTCGGTGAAGAGATTGCTTTTTTTCGTTTCTTTGAATCTGTAATGGATTGCCCGTCTGCAAGTTTGTTGTGTTGAATGTTGTCCCATGTAGAGGATGTGTCACTCATTGAATCATGCCATTGGACCAGGGATACCTGCCACAGGGTCCAAGTGCCCAAACCCAGGATTTCAGCAGCTGCAGAAGGAATTGTTACAAACATTTCATGTGGTGGGCCTCTTGAGATCCTGAGTAGGAGATGGAACCAAAATCATCTCAACTATTCCTAGTGGTCCTGTTGGTAGAACAAGGAGTGCAGTAGAGTAGAATATAAGATGTCCCCTTAAGTAATAACTCTCAGAAAAGGGTCCAAAATGGAGGTACTCCTGACCAGCAAGTGAAGGTGACCTCACCTGGGCAGCTTGCCTCAATGCATGGCATCCTGGCATCAGATCTACATTTCATTCCTTTTCTTCCTTCGGCTTTCAGCCAAATGGACCATCCTATTTTCTGTTCTTGTCTTAAGGCAATGAGTCAGTTAAAAAACAACCCCTTATTAAAACAGAGTTGTTAGTGATTGGGGATAAACCCCCAAGCAGAGTATGCAGCAGCAGTCAAGCCAGGCAGCCAAATGAGAGAGGCTGGGCCCAAGAGTATACACACACTGGAGACAAAAACACTGTTTGTAGTTTTAAATAGTTGTTTAATTCATACAGAGTTTAAGCAGTGTCAAGCAGTCCATATGTCATTATCCAATATATCCATCCAGTAAGCTAGTCCATTAACTAGTCAGTACAATGTCTTTATCTGCTTATTGAAATATCTTCTTCTTCCGATACCTTTCTCTGGAAGACAACGCTGAGTATGCACAGGATATCAGCTCACCTAGTAAACAGTCCTCTTGTTCAGTAGAAACGGTACCCAGCACAGTAGCCAACAAGCAATAACAAGCAGACGTCTCAAACAGTAGTAAAACAGCAGGCAGCAGATAGCAGAGAGACCAGATCAGGAACCAGAGACCAGGAACCAGCGACCAGGAACCAGGAACCAGGTCAGCAGCCAGAAACCAGGAAGTGTTACGTTTATCTCACTGCCTCTTATTGCTGCTTGCAACCGCACCCTTAATTATCTAATTACATTGCAGTTTGGTGCTTAAAGCTACAAACACTTAAACCTCGGTTTACATATTTATTCACCCAAACCTAGTTGGTGTATCCATATACCCAACAAGAGTAAGCCATGCAAACAAATGGGAGCAAGCAATAAGTTAACCAGTCTGTA